CAAGGTTTATTTCGGAGACTTCCATTGAAAGCTTATCCGTTTCCGTCACATTTGCTTGAGCATTTGACTTCTTGAAGTTTTTTGGCTTACAACAGCTTTTAGAGAGATGTCTAGGGTTGTCACAATTATAGCACTTGCCTTTGAACTTCTTAGATCTTTGATTGGACCTCCATCGGTATGCTTCCTCTTGTTGTTGTTCCACCTTTCACAATATTGACTTTAGAGTTCATGGAATTAAAGACTCCAATTTTCTTCTTAGATTTGTGGTTATCTTCCTCAATCCTTAAACAAACAATCAATTCTTCAAGTTTTATCTCCTTGTGTTTATGCTTGAGATAGTACTTGAAATCCTTCCAAAGTGGTGGTAGTTTTTCCATGATTGTAATTCACAATCACTTGGAATGAGTCAATAAGAGGACATACCCTCGGCATGGATGTCATTAAGGATAACTTGAAGTTCTTGAATTTAAGTTATGATGGTCTTTGAATCCACCATTTTATAATTCAAGAATTTGTCAACAATGAATTTTTTTGTACTAGCATCCATGGTTTTATATTTCTTGTCCAAAGACTTTCAAAGTTCTTTTGCAGATTTGACAGCACTGTACACATTATATAGTGCATTTTTTAGTCTGTTTAAGATGTAATTTCTACACAAGAAATCTGAATGCTTCTAAGCATCTACAACAACCGCCTTTTCCTTGTTAGTTTCATTTGCATCAATTAAAGGAACTTCTTCATTGAGAAACTTTGCAAGGTTCAGGTTGGTGAGATAGAAAAACATCTTTTGTTGCCAATGTTTAAAGTTCAAGCCTTTAAATTTTTCGGGCTTTTATCCATGAGACATAGTAGAAACAAAATTTGTTGTAGCTATTTCTGTTACACAAACTGAAGCAAATAGTATTCTGGTTTTAACAAAGTATTGTATAACATAATACAAAATTCTGATTTAGATAGAACAATAATTAATATAACTATATAACGAAAACAAATTTGGTTGAAATCTGTCTTAAGATTATTAGCCCACATATAATCAGAATTGAATTAGAATTATTGTAACAAATCTAAATATATAATCACTAAGTATGCTGTTATATGCAAACTATTTATGTAAAAATAGAATGTATGATAAAAAACTAAAATGACGCACTTACTTGATTGTAGAATAGGAATAAGAAAATAATAGAATTAAAAAATAATCCGAGCCCTGTGAATCATAGTTTTTTTAAGATAGATTTGTTCCCTCTCAGTGCTTAAGATTGATAAGCAACTGTCTCTTAAGATAGAATATATTTTATTTTTGAAAAAGTAGCACTTCAATCTTAAAAATTGTAACGAACACAACTTTGTTTTTTGTACTTGAATCAAATAGAAATGCAATAGTATGCAGAATTTTTTTGTATGTTTTTTATATATAAAAATGGTTTCAAGGTAGTTCTTTTATAGACCCTCTTGTGTCTGTTCAGATTGGCTGAAGAAGCACGAGACACCACTGTTCATTATACCTTTCAGATTGAAAAAACACATTGTTAATCTGAACAGTAACGAAAGGAAATGTTACATTGGGAGTGTGAACTAATCCACAGCAAAATAGTGTTAAATTTTAAATTTCGATTGGAAGAATAAGTTCGATCCAAATTCAGATTCTTTTAGTTTGACCCATAACCAACACAACACCAAATAAACTTTCAGCAAAAAGATAATATCTTTTGGCGGGCGAGCGGCGCGCATGTGGTAACCAAAGTTGTGTTGATGCTCGTTCCGTTTACAAAAGCGTGGTACTGCTTTGGGCCTATTCTCAAGTCAATACTAGAAGGCGCGCATGTGGTAACCAAAGTTGTGTTGATGCTCGTTCCGTTTACAAAAGCGTGGTACTGCTTTGGGCCTATTCTCAAGTCAATACTAGAAGGTTAATATTAGAAAAAATGTTGTTGCTTTTAAATATTCTATATGTTATTCCTACCTTTTCTTAAAGAGCTATTTGTTCAGATTGCTATGCATTTGGTTTTTTGTTCCATATTCGTATGAAGATGTAAGTTTAATTTGGTATTTTGCTCTAAACTAAAGGTTATTTGTCATTTATGAGGTCTGTTTCATTTAGTGGATTTGTTTGAAAGTTGGTTTAATTAATTGGTAGAGGGATCTCTTATTACCTTATTTTTTTTCATTTAATTAATTGTTAGGGGCGATGAATCAAGGGGGGGTTTCTGCAATTTTACAGGATTAATTATACATTTTGGTCTTTTGTTTGTAAAGGATACTATCATTTTTCTTTCTGGTCAACACTATAAAATTCTTTATCTCATTGATTTCATTTTTCATTGATTGTTCTCTAAAAACAATTTGTTTTAGGATCAACATGGTATTAGTACTTCGCATCTCTTGTTTTTCAGTGTTTCTTGGAGATCATTTTATGAATGCTCCTAATGCTGTTGGATGTTTGGGTGAGCAAAAGATTGGCAAATTGGATGAAACTTTGTATCACCATAGGAAATGAGAATCATAGTTTGGATGGTTAAGGTCAACAATTTGATGAATCTGTTATAACTTCTAAAAAGTCTAGTGAGTATAATTTAGTTGATGAGAGACTGTGGAAAGACTTCATTCCAGTGGATGTGTGGGATTAATTGATTTCAGAATTACTTAGTGGATAGGTTCAAAGTTTGTCGCCTGGTTACTTGGGTTTGAGATTGAAATCATGTGAAATAAGGTTGACTGGATTAAGATTTAAGACAGAGATGATATATAAATAATAGATACCTTAATTTATTTTGCATTCCCTTTCAATTACAAGAAAAAAAAGAAAAGCAGCTAGTTCTTATTAAGCAACTTCATATTATACACTTGCTAGCTGATCTGCATGTTTTTGTCAGAAGCCTGAAGTGGTGGATATGATATTGCCACTCATTGTAGAAATTCTAGAAGGGGGGTGACACTACAACTCTTGGCTTATTGCGACTCCAAGTATGTATGAACGTATCCTTCTCAAGCATGCGTTAAATGCATCTACAGGTTTTCTTCTAAGGTTTGGAAGTTCACTTGAATTTATCATTCAAATGGCTAACACTAAATTAAATCTGTCGCATGGTGTCCCAATCTTTCTTTGTGGAGTTGCTGCTTCTTCTTGATGTGGTTTCCGGCACATTGAGTTTAGATTTTGAATCTGATTATGAAGTTGTTGTCTGATGACACGAAGTTACTTGATAAAGCTCTCTAGTGTTGGATGTGCTAAAAGTGAAACCCTGGCACCAGAAGCCATGGACAGATCATGTGATTAGGGTTTCCCTTTTGCTCGACTCTCTTTAACTTCTGTCTTTCACTCCCGAAGCCCTTTTCTGACTTCAATCCTCCCTTCTTATCTTTATTCTATCCAACTTTGAAGTCGGAGAAAGCTTTTTGTTAACAAATCGGAGTTCGCCTGCCATTTTCTATCTATCTAAGTCGAACGAAGCTGTTAAAGGAGCGTTTGGAAAGAGCACCAAGGAGGAAGAAGAAGAAAAGGGCAACCCCGTGAAACTACACCGATGTTTGTCCCACGTTAAGGTATGTATGTTGTAGCTCTTAACATGTGAATAGTATGAGGCATTATCAAGCTTTAATCTACCAGCTGTTTGCTCATTCGTTCAATCCGATTTCTACACACTTCCTACAGGTTTTCATCTGGTTTGCGAGCAGTCTTAATGGAACTAAATTGAGGTCAGACTATTTTCATTGGATGCTATCTTTGTGCTCAGATGTAGGGTTGGCTGCAGAGTCTAGAAGTGGAAGGTAAGATACACTAGTATTGCCTGAAGTCATGGCATGGTTCAATTTATTTTGATCTATCTTTTGAAGTGATTTTTCTTATGAATTGTGCTCCCTTTTGGTGGATTTTTTCTTTAGTGTTCGATTATACAGAGCTTTCATCACAAAAGATACCTGGAAATTTGGAGAGCGGATTTTCTTTCGCCTCTACTTCCTAATGAGGCTGAAATATGTTCAGATTTTGATCCTACTGTCAAGGTTGAACCTTCACTTTTGAAGTTATTTTGCAACTTGTGGTCCTATGTTGCTCTCTTTTGGTTAGCACCTCCAATATGGAAACTTTGTCCCAGATAAAGTCAATTTCCACTACAATGAAGATTGTGGGGAGCATGGATGCAGTTGCTCTTTAAGCAGTAAGTGGACCATGTATGTGCAATACTCAGTGGTTTTCTTCTGTTCAACGTATATCTCAAGGGACGCCACAGCTCGTCAGTTGATCTTCAACAGAAACTCGCATGATTCTATTTTCCATTTGAATTAATCATGAATTTTTTTGGTCATCCAAATGATATTATTTCTGTATAGTTATGTATTATGATGTGTGTTGTCAATGCACATAATATCTCTTTGCTTTCTTTTCTTTACCTCATAATGGGACATGTTTGTGGCATGTCTTACACATATCTGAGAGTGCAGAGGTGCATCACATCTGACATAAATACATCTGTGTCTAATACTATTCTTGCTTCTTATAGGTGGAATGACTTGAGATGAGACAGTCAATCTATAAAGCTTTGACACTACCTGTGTTCTTACAGGTTGATTTAGTTCTGTGAAACTTGAAGATGAGTTGGAACTTAATGCTCTTGATAACCCTAGCAGCCGCGTGGCAATGATTAAGCTGTTGTAAGCCAAAGACTTACTCTTTCTACTGCTTTAGCCTTTAGGTGGGCAACTTGACGTTGCCACAATGAGCACAACTCAGGTATAGCAAACGCCTACTATTTACTAGTGAAACAGATATGAATTCTCAATGTTTCTTGTTTGCTTTGCTAACAGGTGACTGTTGACTACAAATATTGAGAAAATTAGTTGGCTTTGGACTGTGCTTAGTTGGCTTCACTGCTTACAACATTCTTCAAATTAGAGGTTATACTTTATACTTATACAAATGATGTTGAAATGAGCCTTCTCTAACTTCTACGGTTGTCGAGGCAACTTATCTATTTGCGGTAGCTCGATGGTAGCATCTTCAATTGTGGCCCCGTTTCAACTGCTTCCAGAAGTGCATTTAGTTGTGTCTTTGAATACCTGAACAGTCCAAGTCTTATGCCGGCTGTGTTCCTGTTCTTGCATTTGGAGCGGCATTGTTGTGGCAGGTATTCCTGGTTTCTTAGCAGGCTTCTTAAGCAATGGCTTTTTCTAAGAGGTAATGTCCTTGTCTTGGTAATTTCTTGTCACTGAAATCAATTCAACAAGGTTCATAAGTTTTCTTGCAATTGTATTAAAATTTACATTACTTTTATGGGATCATAAAAGTATGGAAATATCCAATGATGACTTCTTCACAACCCTGCACACATACCCTAGAAAAAAAAGAAAATTACTTGAAACAAAATGACTTGTCGTTTGTCGAATGACAAGTGGTGTGTTCTTTTCAGTATAATGGTGATTATTGAGCATTATAGACCATTATTGCATGTTTTGTCCCGAGTGACATGTTGATGATACTAGGGACTCGTTTGCTTCCTCCCCTGGATAAGAAGAAGATGACGATGACGAATTTTCCAGATTGATCTTATTCTCTCTTAAAACTGGGTGAGGCTTCTCAGATCCTCTTTAGAAAGGCTGTGAATCTGCAAAAGGTTTACCATTCTGTGTCACTTGCATATTTGTATGAGATAATAGAAGTTATTGATATAGTCTTCTCTATCGTCCTGCACAACTATTAGTTTATGCTAATCTTTTCTTCTTCCTTTTTTTTGTGGTTTGCTAGGTGAGCATTACTGATATCAGAAATGGGTGCAGAAGGATCTATGCCTGAGACTGAAATGAAGCTGAGATTAGAGAGTCTACCCTCTTTGTCTGTACCTGTTTTCTGATAAAAAGTTTCTCTGATGGAGAAGTTGATCACTCAACTTCAAGATAAGATTCCATGGGTAAAAGTTTAATGGTTGTCTTCCACCTCATTTTGTCTTCTTGTTTTATATTCAACTTAGGTCCTTGTTCTTGACATTTAAGTACACCTTATTAAATGTTTTGCTTGCTTGCAGATCTTTTAGAATTCTTCTTGTCTGGATACCCTGTTATTTCAGTGCCAATGATCAACCTTCAGCTTTCGTCAATGATCTTGCTTGGGTTGGGACTGGTTGTTGTACTAGAACACTGTTTGGTAATGAGCTTTCGTCAATGATACCTTGTTATTTTGGAGTTCTTATCTTCTCTTTTTCCCAAATCGATGGAGCGCCTAAGCCCACCACCGATGATGACTAACGCACCACCAATAAAACCATCGACAATGAAACCAACCAACCATTGTCTGACTAATATTCTCTTTTACTCCGTCTCTCCCTTTCTCTGTCTCACACATGCACACAATACACATGCACATAACAACACATTCCCTCTCTTAATCTCTTTCTTTGCCTCTCTCTATCTTATGCACGCGCACATCACACAAAGCAACACATACACACAGCACACACGCATGGAGAAGACAAAGCACATACACAACACACAACGTCACGTGCAGAGACACAACACACACATCACGTGTAGAGACACAACACACAGCACATGCACACTCACACATATCACACTTAGGGGCGGAGCCATGAGTTCATCTTAGAGGGGCAAAACATGAATAAAAAATTAAAAATAAAATTTCTAAGTTTAAACATGAGAGATATATTAAAAAATATATGACAATGAAAATATAGAACTATGCAAAAAAAATTCAGTAATTTCCTTCAATGTATACAATGAAAATGTCTATGATAAAATCAACTTTCATTTTGTTGCGAAACATAATTAAGAACATTATCCATCTTGTTAAAAAATTAATTATTTAAAAAAGCAAAAAATACTCTTTTGATTTAGAATATTTTACTATTTTGCATCCAATCGTGTTTACAACTGGTCATAACCCATTAACTTAACAAAAAAGAGCTGGATACAACGATATAAATTTTTTTTTAAAAAAAATGAAACAATATAAGATATGAAAGAGAGCTGTATTATCTTCAAAATATCTCACATTTATTTAACATCGTCTAAAAATGAACTATATTTTAATGGATTAGTAGGCCGCTGATTTATTGAAAACAATAATATTAGGACATTCTATACAAATTGTCTAAAAATTTAAGGGGGTCAATATCTTAATCTCTAAGGGACTCATTATGATTTAATACTATATATGAAAGGATTCTTTAAAGGTAAATAGGGCAAGTGCCCCCTCTTCCCGTAAGAGTAGCTCTGCCCCTGCACACACACTCACATATGTAACTCACAGTGACATTCAAACACACACGCAACTGGACATATAGGGCTTTGTTTATCTTATGACTATTTTTGATGAAATTTGAATGTGGGATTTATGAGACTTGGGTGGCTTGATGGAATTGATTATTAGGGTTTTGCATCAAATTGAGTGTTAATTGCCTAGCTAAACTCAACAATTATTTCCAATCTTAATTACCTTGGGTGCTTGGAGAAATATAGAATCAAATATTTCATCGTCATTTTGTTACACTGTATCACATAGTTTGATTAAAGTTCTATCATGTTTTTCTCAATTTTCCTGCGAAGTTCTATTGGTGTTATTGTTGCCACGACTGTAATGTTTGAATGACCTTTAAGGGTGGGAGTAAAGGTTGTAGCATTTGTGGGTGTGAGTCCTGATTAGGTTTGTCACCCAAGGTTGGTCCAGAGCTGGTGGATTTGGATGGCGCTTCTATGCTAACAAAAGATTCTAATGTGCTTGAGCCTTTTGTTCACTGCCTTCTCAGAGTCAAGTTCTAGTGATGCAGTTCTTGCAGATTGTCTTAGTAATTATTATAAATGACATGTTAAGTGTTTTATTATAAAAAGACATGGTAATTTATTTCTATGAGGTGTCATAAATGGCATAGTGGTTAAAACTGTTATAAATGGTGTGTTAATTGTTTTATTAAAGAGAAGTGGTAAAAAGAGTGGGAGGATTTTAAGTGTTATGAATTACTCTCTCTCAAACAGACGAAACCCTAAAAAACTGCCCCTCTTCTGTCTCTTTGCCCTTCATGTCCTATTTTACTCTTATAGAATACATTGGTTTTTTGTTTCTTTGTTATATTGTCAGTAAGCTTTTTCCTAATTTCTTAATAAATGTCTAAGTTAAGTGTCTTTTATAAATTCTGTTATATATTGGTTCCGCAGTCTTTTTTTTTTTTGTGTGTGTGTTTAGCAGATTTTACTAATATTATTTTCATCTATATTGTAATGTACATCTATTGATGTCTTAAAAATATTAAATTAATATCTGTTATCCAGTTTTCTTTTTGATATAAAATTGGAAATAAACTAATTATAGCTCAATATGCTCTTATATGTAACACTAATGTTGAGACATATTTCCGGTAGCACCCTTGTAATGAATTTTAGCTATGTTTAATATGTTAGATGATATATTTTGAATATATGATGCACAAATAATATTGCTTACATTTTTTAGAATTTTTTGTGATTTTTTCAAAAAAATTTGGGCCTTCTATCTATCATTTTGAGCGTATTGGCTGTACCTTTTGAGTCGATGACCTATACCGCAACATCGAACCATATCTGTGAACTTTGATTTTTCATGTTGGTCACGAGGGAAATGTTATAGTTGGTGATGATGTTATGTGATGTCCATTATTGTTGTCCCCTTTTGCTTCATTACCTGTTCTAGTTGAATTTTTTACTTTCAAGTTTCATTTAGTTGCTTTTTATCACTACTCTTTCTTTCATTGTGCAATTAGGATGCTGGCATGCATTGGTAATACAACCTTTTTCTGCATAAAACCTGAAACGTAATCTTGGATAATGGATTACATGGTGGGTCATCATGCATAGAGTGGCTACTCTTATGCTGCCTTCGTTTTTGTCAAATTTGTCCTATTATGCTTGGTTGGTTTTAATTTATTGTCATTATTGTTTTTTAATTTAATTTGCTTGGTATAGGTTAGGATTGAACCTTTTATTGTTTGTACTTAATTGTTGATGTTGGCACTTGAAGTGAATGGGACACTTCAATTTTTTAAGATTAAAGATTGGAATATTGCTTTAAAGATATACTTCATATTGATTTACTATTTTGTGTTGGGTGTACCAATCTCTATTTGAGTTTAAAAGGTGTGCTTTAGTTCACAAAGTTTTGTATATGGATCTATTTTCTGTTTACGTTTTTTTCTTCCTAATGTCACTGTCATGTTGCTTTGCCATTGTTCTGGTATCATTGATCCGTACTAATATTTGGATTTTCTTTCGATTTTTTTTATTTGGAGCTTGACAGTACAAAACATCCAGCGAATGCAATGCTGCAGATTCAAGACCAGAGGAGCCCCCCCCCCCCGGCCCGCGGGCAGCCAAAAGTTTAGGCAGAGGGTACTTGCATAAGTTATTCAAAATTGTTTTGCGCTATGCTATTTAACAATGCTTGGACAGTCTCTTGGCTCGTTTCATATTTGAAATTTGTACGATTGTGTTTTATCCCAATCTTCAAATAAATACAAATAGAACTGTGTTTTCATGTGTATGGTTTCTTTGCATACTTCTTTTCTAGTATATTGTATTCTCTAAATTTTTCTGAGAGATTTTTCAAAATTTCTTGCTCCTGTTGGTGATAAGTCTTGTTTCTAGCAAAATCATGCCCAATTAGTCTATTATTCTTAGGAACCATTATACAGAAAATGATTGGACAATTGCACTGCGTATTCTCTTGGATGATATTTCCCCAGAAGGTCTTCGCATCAGACAGCCTTCAATTCGAAACCAGTTTCTTTAGGACAGAACAAACTCGCTAACAAGGTAAACATAAATATTTCACAATTTGGATTAATAACTACAAGATCCATAGATTAGAGGTAATATGAGTCCGAACACTATACGGGACGATTTTCTTACTCGTACAGTTTAGGCTGAAGACCAGGGGAATTTTTTTTTTTTTTGTGTTTGGGTGGGGATTGGGGGTGGGGGGGGGGGGGAAGGACCAGCACCTGTCATACAGTTCAGGCTGAAGACCAGAAGTTTGAGAGGATTAGAACCAGCACCTGCCATACAGTTCAGGCTGAAGACCAGGAGAAGCTTGGGAGAGGGTTAGAACCAGCACCTGCCAGAGAACGACCCGTGCTTGTGCATGCGAGAGCGCGGGTGTAGATCATCGCTTGTAGCATATGTTAGTGCTCTCATAAAGAACTGTTAGATGAAGGGTGTCCATAACTGTTAGTGCAACCTGCTGGCTGATAGCAATCATAATGCAAGACATTCTACCAAACCAAACCCATCAAAACCACAAAGTGAGATTATAATTCCCTTGCAGGACTGTTCCACATTTTAAAAACAACAACGATATCAATAGCCACCAATCCAAGTTACATTACAAATTCAATTTAGTTTAGTATAACTCGAAAACAGTATCTTCTGTGGTAAGGACATATCCAAGGGTGAAATCAACAATCCAGCCACCCTGAAAGAGTATTACTTACAAAAATCATCAGTGATCACTTCAGCAAATCACTAAGATTGCAATCAATTAACTGGAAACACAATACAGACAGCATTTCGAAACTCCCTCAAACAAAACAGTATCAGATCCACTTATACACTAGTTCAACTATGATCAATTAAGTCCCTGCAGTGGGCAATGCAGCCATAAAAGAGTTGTAAGATGACTCGAGATCGAAGTGAAGCTGCCGAGCCTGCTGCTCTGTCAACTCATCTGCTGCCCCCATCTTCGACAACCGCCCAATCCAGTCTCTCATCTTTGTCTTCCCCTCAAATTCAGGCGGCAAAATAGAAAGCTTATTAAGTGAACCTGATAAATCAGAGAGCAATGGATGAACTTGATCCACAGCCACCATATTCAACTTCAATGAGTCCATCGCAGTAATAAAATTCTGCACACATTCAGCCACATTGGCTGCCGAGGTAGTTGCCGACATTGCCGCAGCTGCCCTGTGCTCCACAGTGGCAGGAACGCCAGAGGTCACAAGGCGGTTTATGGCAGCCTGGCAGTCCATTTTATAGGTATCATGGAACCGCTCAATACTCGGGACTGTGTCTTTCAATGAGGAAGATAGGGTTTTAAAATGAGCAATCAACTTTTGGCATTCAACCTCATACTCTGCTGGTGAAATTATGTCACGAATATAGGCCTTTTCAAGCTTCTCTGTTGCTTTAATTATTGCAAAGAGCTCAGCAAAGTTTTCATACATCTCTCTTTCGCGCTTGTCATTCCATAGCTTAACCTCCATTGAAGAGTTTAATCCCGGGTTGTGGACCAAATTAGGTTTATGTATTCGAATTGGAGAAGAGGACGGGACACGCGCAAAAAGAATCTAAACTTCCCTGGACATCAACCAAAACAGTAAACACATTAGATTCAGAACAATACCATAAATCGTGATCATGAAATTCAAAACATTACGACAATCTATATACATCGGGGATCATGAAATTCAGAGCAACAATATATAATATCGACCTGAGTGCATCAAATGAATCTGGGTGTGTCTATATATTGGATTGTGCGTGTGTATCTATAAGAATGCATATCTACATGTATATACTGCAGATACACATGAAATCTAAGAGGAAAATTTCCAAACAAAACTAATTTACATCATTTGCATATAATGAAAAATAAAATATGAATCTAAGAGGAAACCCTCACAGAACAAACAGTTAAAGAGAACATTAAACATCGAACCAAAATAAGAAGGAACAGATGTTACAGATCATAACAATGGCAAAGAAATGATAAACCCAGAATCAAAACAGCGCAAAATTTCAAAATTGGAATCCCAACAACACAGTCCTTATATTTCAGAATCCAAATTTATAGATCAACATACCCAGAACTAAGACATAATATGATTCAATAACTCAATCAGAATTTCCACATAAATATATATACATACACGTATGTAGAGAGAGAGAGACATACAGAGAGCGAAAACGCGGCTTTGAATAATGGGAAGAGTGTTGCAGGTAGAGAGGAAAGAGTATGGGTGGAAGCAGGTTGTACGCTTGTGGACAGAGAGGTTGCGTGTGCGAAATCAGATCTAATAATAGTCCAATTCAGTAGGGGATGGCACGTGCTTTGCGCGTGCTTATCCCCACCTCGTTTTCAAGCATGCTATCGGATTCGGACAGGTTCTTAGTCAATCCTAATTCGATTCAAATTAATGATTCGATTCCGAACCCGATCAAAATCGCCGGATATCATGTATGAAATCTCAATTTAATCACTAGAACACTGAAAAACAATTCAATTACAGCACGCGCTGTAATTGAATTCGATCAAAATCGACGGATATCATTTGTGAAGTTCCAAATTAATCACTTCAAACAAAGAATTTCATCTCAATTGCTGCACAAATGTCTCAAAGTTCCAAGAGCTTACGCTCAATTTCGGTTCCCTTTCACCAAATATGTTCGAACTGAGGCTCAATTTCACCTCGAAATTCATAAAAGTTCGAGCCAGATCTTACCTGTGAGAAGCCCGAAAACGGGGCCGAGAGCGGAGCTTAGATTTGTTCAGAAGAGAGAGGAAAGGGTTCACCGGCAAAGAGGGTGGTTGACTGGCAGTAAACGGATAGGTGAGGAGAAAGAAAGATGGAGGCCGGGTAGGAATTAGGATCATTTTATACATTACATCCATTTTGCAAAGACAGACCTAAACAAAGTGGTGTAGTGGTCAAAACCTTGTTTTCCCCAACAATGCAATTTTGAGGAGGGATATTTTTAAACCAATCGATATTGAATAATTTTAAAAAATGAGTTTG